ATTTAATTTTATTGTTTTAATATTTTTAACTATTTTGATATAAAAATCTCGCTGAAATTTCTATTTTAATATTAAATAGTTTATATAGGATTTGTATCCAATTTGAATTTTATATAGGATTTTGTTCAATTTTGTTCATTTGATTAAAACCTAAATAGTTCATTTTGAGTTTTTTAATAAAAAATAAAATAAAAATTGGAAACTCTAAATTTAGGATGATAAAATTGTAGTTTATTTTTTAGTGAATTTCAATGATTTTTGTGTTAAAATATATATATTTGTTTATTGCAATGATAAAGAAAAAACAATAAAGTTAAATCGTCTTTAACATAATTAAAATTTTAATTTAAACAAACCAAATCATATATAAATGTATTCATTTTTTAAAATAAGATATGATTTTGTTATTTGATTTGTTTAAATTAAAATTTTAATTATATTAAAATAGTAAAACCATATCTTTTTCATCTTTGTAATAAAATTAAATCGTATTTAATATAATTATTTTTTATGTTTTTTTGAACAAATCAAATCATATAATAATATCATATTATGTTTATTCTGATATCGTCACACACACATATAGGAAAATGTTCAAACGAGAACACTTTCATTTTACGAGAACGCAAAAACATTTTTTTACTATAGACAATCACATGTGATACTATTATTTTATCACATATGATATACATGTGATACTAAATCAGAGACGTGGACGATTTTCGATGCGATCTTGGTTGCGGGTCAAGTCTCCCTTACACCACTAAGCCCTCTCACAAGTATTATCACATGTGATGAAGGTGTTGTTGATATGATACTATAATCCATCAAAACCATCACATGTAATGCTTAAATCATAGACACAGACAACCTTTGGCGCGGCCTAAGTCGTAAAACACGTCGTCCGCACATCACAGGGTCCCTTACGCGTATTATCACATGTGAGAAGGGTTTTCTCGTATTCTCGTTTGAACCTCCACCTATATTGTTGTTCTTCATTTATAGGGAGAAAACAAAAATTAGGCAAAAAAACTAAAACGGTTCTTAATTTAACGTAGTTAACGGAGACGTTAGTCATAGGGACCATGGTCAAGACAAATCGAATAACACAGAGACTAAATTCACAATAATAAAAAATATCAAAAACCACAGAGACCAAATCCACAACTCACTCATAAATTTATGTGCGTTAAACTTGGGGGAAAAAAACCGATTCCATCTCCTCATTTGTAGCCATGATGATCTTGATTACCTTACTTGTGTGTTTATCTCTACAAAACCAATTTTGGATAATTTTCAAGTAAATCTTCTCCTTCATCAATTTCAAGTTCCATTGGGTGGTTAATGAAACCGATTTTGAAGAATTCCCAACTAAATCATCTCCTTCATCTGATTTCCAACCAATACAATTTTGGGTTATTCGGTTTTCAGCTTAAAGATCCTCTCTAATTGAATAAAAATAACTTATTTATTAGTATTATAACAAACAAAACAAGAGAAATAAAATGAATTTTAACGGGTTGACACTTAAAAGTTAGAGAAATTATAGTTTAATTGATCAAGTAATGACTCCTTCAAGCAAGAGTTCTAAATGAGATGACAAGAATTAGAATTGAGTCTAAATTTTATTTGTTCCGTGTCTATTAATAGTTTTACGTTAACAAAAATAAAAATACAAATAAACTACTCTTGAGGTTTGTTGTGGGCCTATGTCCCCTACCCCTTTGCTGTGAATCTGCCAACGGGTCTAGAGACAGTGTTAGATCAATACATCAGGTTATAATTGGAATTTAACAATTTCAATTAGCCCGTGGATTAGTTAAGGTCCAGTTAGGTCTTATTTCGAGTTCAATTTAAAACCCGGATTGTATCTAGGATGGAAATGGGGTGGGTATTGAGCGGGTAATACATCCCCCGTCCCTGACCCTCGTTTAACCCCCCTACCCTTCCCCAACCCCGCCTTAATTAATCCCCCGCGGTTTTCGAGGGGAATGAATCCCTGACGGGTTCATGGAACCCGTTTAGTAAATAACGATCTATTTTAAAATATAAATTATAATGAATCGTCACTATATAAACTATCAATATTGAAAATCAAAATATATTTATCATTTAATAATAAATATAGAGAGATTCAGGGAAAAAACTAAAAAAAACAAAAAAAAAACTGGTGAACACTTTGATAACTGTTTATCTGAACGGTATGCACCTGTACATACTGGTAATTGAAGTTGTTTCTTGGTATTTATGTATGTGCAATTACGGACCTGGGTTGTTGCGGACCTGTAACTATTTTGGTAAAGTTAAAGAGAAAATGACTAAGAGGTAAAACCAACCCTAAAAAATGAATATTTTAATAAATTTTCCAATATTATATTAGATGTATTTTGTTATCAAGCCATAATTTTGTACCCTCACTCGATCACCCAATTCCATGCATCATCGTTGCCACCTTTGCTGCATTTTCTATTTATAATATTAGTTTACGGTAATTCAATAGATTTTCTAAAAACATTGTAAAATAGGAAAAATAAAAGAAATTATACCAAAAATTATTAAATTTAGAAAATTCTTTAAAACTAAAAGTCGAAAAAAGGAGAAATTGTTTTTTTCGTTCTCTCCGATAAAATTTTATGTGTTATCATTTTTATACCAAATTTATTTAATGCTTTTTTGGCTTAAATCTACTGAATATTCGATAATATAATTAATATTGAAAAAAATACAAAATAAAAAATATATTAGAGTTAGAATAATTCTTTTAAGAGTAAAACTTGTATTTTGTCGCTAACATTTGTCTATTTAATGGTTCTCGTCCCTAAAGACCGTAATTTTCAACAAATTTCGTTCATCATACTAATATATGTTTTAAGTCTTTTTTCAATTAAATGAAAGTATTTTTAGTCATTTTTTATTTTTCCTTAATTTTTATATTAAACGTATATAATATTTATTATATATTAGAATGATACTTGTGCAATGCAGCAAAATACATTTCGATTTTAATATTTTGTTTTATTCTTTGTCTCTATCGATATAATACGGTGTTATGTAATTTTGAGAAAACGATAGTGTTTCTATTTTTGAATAAAATACAAATTTGAAAAAAAAATATCTATATTAATATCAAATTAACTATGTATAAATTCTCATTTTTTGTATAATTTTTTTAATTTAACTTTTTTATTATAATTTAATTTAGATTTAATAACTGAGTAATTTATCTTTGGTTTTAATATAATTATTTGTAAAGATATTAATTAAGTATTTTGTTGTAACTCAATCATTATCCTAATTATATTTTAAATTTTTTATATTCAAAATAAGATGTTTATCACGTATTTGAT